GGTCTGGGGGATCGAACTTCTCAACATATAGGAAAGTGGGCTTTGGGATTGTTCATGTGGCACTAGAAGGTACTTTTATGTGCTTATGTCCAAAGGAGGTGCAACCCTACCAGTGCTTCAAAATGTTTTAATTCAGATGTGAAGGCAGCAGAATATGTGTTCTGCTCTAGAACAGGCTGGACACCTTGACTTTGACCTCTCACTGCCTGTGCCCAGTCACCTCCCAGGAGCAGTGGTGTTATCCTTTCTCCATTTCCTTTTTTGAATAATTTGGATGTCAAGCGAGTAGCTCTTAGCTTTTCAGAAAGAGGAACAGTATAAAAAATAAGATTCATTCATTAAAAATAATAGTTGGGCCTGACATTTTTATAGGTTTGAGATTGGGCCAGGCACAGTAGCTCGTGTCTGTAATCCTAGAATTCTGGGAAGCCAAGCCAGTGGATTGCCTAAACTCAGGAGTTTGAGACCAGCCTGAGCAAGAGCGAGATCCTGTCTCCACTAAAAAAAGGAAAATTAGCAGGGCCTGGTGGTGGGCACCTGTAGTCCTAGTTACTTGGGGTGGGTGAGGCAGGAGGATCGCTTGAGCCCAAGAGTTTGAGGTTGCTGTGAGCTGTGGGCTGTGATGCTGCCGTGTCATTGTACCCAAGGTGACTGAGTGAGATTCTTTCTCAAACAAACAAACAAACAAACAAAAAAAACAAGAGAGAGAGAGAAGAAAAGAAAGGAAAAGAAAAAAGGAAGATAGAAATTATAATTTGAGCTTAATGTGGGTCCTGGTCCCAATTCTAGATACTTAGATATACTCTCCATGGAAACAGGCTCTTGCCTGCCTATCATGCCCCATTGGATTTATGGAGCGATATTGAAATTAAAACAATTTCACTAGAGATGTCACAGAGGTAAAATATGTTCAATAAAACAAGTGCTTGTGCCTTCAGAGGAGGGAACTCCCCTGGGCTGGAACACTCGTCAAAAGCTTCCTATCAAAGATAGAAACTGAGCTCATTCTATGTGTGAGCAGGAGTTAGAGAGGCAGGAAACAGAAGTGTAATCATTACAGGGAAGGTGACCGTGTAGTGCATCATCCACACCGGGACTCACTCTGAGCATTAAAGAGGGCACTCCTAATAATCATGCCGGGAGCAACGATGTAAACCAGAACCATCACGGGAAAATTGGGAAGGACAGTCACTTTCCTGACAAGCAGGGTTAGTGATTAGAGGGAAAGCAGAGTGGCAAATGTCCTTCCATGCATACTACCACAGCAACAATTTTACTCCACTTTAACTGTGTAAAATTGAGTTCTCTAGAAATCATATCTCTCCTCCTTTTTTCTTCCACGTAGGAAGATTAGGTTAACTTATCTTTACTGCTCGCCTTACGTGTGAGGTCTTATGTCATGTTCCATTCTGAAGCGCGCACGGGTGGTTTGGAGAGAAGTACGTTACCTTACGGTGCAAACTCACTCTTGTGGGAATGGAGAAAAGGGGACTCCCGACCTGAGAGATCTGGTCGTGGGTGGATCTGTCAGGTTTGGCAGCTGGAATGATTGACGAGCTGTCTGTTCTGGCTCCTGTTCCACTAGGCTTTGATCCGGAGCCCCTCTCAGGAAGAGAAGCTCCCTACATACCTGCAGGATCTTTCCATTAGCACAGACCTGGTGAAACATGAAATCCTCTCATCTCCCGGGAGCCTGGGAGCCATTATTAGCATCCTTGACTTGCTCTCCACAGTTCCAATCCAAGTCAATTCAGAAATGATGACGGTGAGTTGGCCTCAGCTTTGCGGGAGTTTTGTGTCTTTCCTTTCACCCTTCAGGACTTGTGTTCAAGAAACAGGATCCCACCCCCCCCCACCCACGCCCCCACCCCCCGGCAGCTTCTTCTCTGTCTTTTCCAGACAATTCTCTGGACGTTACAGTCACATGCTTTGCCAGTCTCAGCATTTAGGACATGGGGGAGTGTTTCCAGTACTCATTGGGGGACCTTAAGAATATTTCCTCAGTGAATCTCTGCTTTAGTTTCTTCTTTAAAACCGAATGAATTCTCATCTGATTTCCAGGAAAACTAGGAGTTAAAGGTTTCAGAATATGTGCAAGGTGAGATTTTCAAAAGTTTAGCACTAAACAAGAATTCTGAAGCAATCAGGGTTCTGGGAGGAAAGAGTTTACCCACAAGAATTCAAATGCAGAGGATTTAATGAAGGGCTTCTGACAGAGGGAAAAGCCAGGATTAACAAACCAATTAACACACAAATAAGAAGTAATGAGGCACACAGAGATCAGCAACAATACCAGCCCCCGGGTGAAAGGAGAGGAAATGGTGCAGACAGGGTCCACCTCGGAGGAGGGACCAGTCTGCAGGGGCCATGGCCTTGGAACCCCACCTATAACCAGAGCTGTGCTGAGAAGAATGAGGACCAGGGACAGGGGTGGTGGTGGGCAGCTGGGAACATGTATCTCGGCTTTTCCCTTCTCCCACCCTCCCATCTCCTGCCAGGGCTGTCCATCAGCAGAAGCCAACCAGAGGCCATCTGGCACCAAGCTTAGGGGCAGAGTCCAAAGAGGTTGTGTATGTTTCCTAGGGCTAGTGTCTTACAATGATAGAAATTTATTCTCCTACAGTTCTGGAGGCTAGAAGTCTAAAATCCAGGTATCTGCAGGGCTACGTCCCTCCCAGAGGCTTCAGAGGACACCCCTTCTCTGCTTCTTCCAGTTCCTGGCAGCTTCAGTCACTCCGTGGCTTGTGACTGCAGGACCCCAGTGTGACTCTGTCTTCAGATGGCCTCTTACTCTCCACTTGTCTTCTCCTCCTCTGTCTCTGTAAGAATATTTGTCACTAGATTTGGGGTCCATCTAGCTAATCCATGATCAATCTTTAATCACATGGACTCTAAATAAGGCAACATTCATGGAGTTTAAGTATTAGGATATGTCATGGCGGGGGAGGGTCGGGGGGCATCATTTCAAGATTCTATGGGGTTCACACTTCCCAAGAACAGAACAAGGCAAAGAAGGGCAAATGATTTACATTGCAGGATAGGCTGAATGGAAAAATGGCAAGTCCATGTACGTCTATGGGGAAAGAGAAGTAAGTTGTATCACATGTGGCTTGGTGCCTGTAGCTCAGCGGCTAGGGCGCCAGCCACATACCCCAGGGCTGGCGGGTTTGAACCTGGCTCGGGTCTGCCAAGAAACAATGACAACTACAACAAAAATATAGCCAGGCTTTGTGGTGGGCACCTGTAGTCCCAGCTACTAGGGAGGCTGAGGCAAGAGGATGGCTTAAGCCCAAGAATTTGAGGTTGCTGTGAGCTATGATGCCACAGCACTCTGCTGAGGATGACATACTGAGACTCTGTCTCAGAAAAAAAAAAATTGTATCACACAAAAGAAAGATGCCTTTGACCACACTTGGGTAGCTCACTTGATGCTCAGGATTTGAGATGGTCGTCTGAGCATCCTCCCCCTTGCTGGGGAGATTCCATCCACCAAAAGCCCTTTACAGGCTTGAGGTGTAAAAGAAAATACAGTAAGATAATAAATACCTCTGCCGGCCTGCTGGGTTGGCCTTGGTGAGTAGGATGTGTCTGTGTGAGGGGAGTTTCTCAGTCTTGGGGACCCACCGTCCGCTAACCTGTGCCATAAGAAGGCAGGTCACAGATCTACTGCCTGTCACGCTTCCCTTTTCTCTGTTCTTCTCCTCTTACCTGCGTCCACGGAACCAGTTTCTAGGGAGATGTTATTTTTTGTTTTTTGTGATTGAAAGAATGTGGTTGGTTTGATCCCATGCCCTGTCACTTACAGCATGTGCTTTCTACCGTGAACATCATCCTCAGCAAGCCGACCTTGAACACCTGGAAGGTTTTACAACAGCTGCAGATCAACCACTGTTCCCAGCTGCTGCACTCAGTGGAGCGATTTTCCCGAGCGCTGCAGTTGGGAGCTAACCCCTCCCTGTCCTTCTGCCAAGCCAATGTGCAGATGAGCAGCATGGTCATCAGATCCAGCCACCCTGCGGCCTATGAGCAGAGGTTTGTTTTCTCCGAGGCTGACCTCTGGGGCAACATTATCATTGACAAGAGCCAGCTGGAAAGCTTGGAGCCAGATTCATCTATTGTCACCGTGGCTTTCCCAACTCTCCAAGCCATCCTGGCCCAGGATGATCAGAAAAGGAATTTTGCAAACAGCTTAGTGATGACGACCACTATCAGCCACAACATAACCACGCCGTTCAGGATTTCCATGACTTTTAAGAACAACAGCCCTTCGGCCCGGGAAGCAAAATGTGTCTTCTGGAACTTCAGCCTCGCCAACCACACCGGGGGCTGGGACAGCAGTGGGTGCCATGTGGAAGGAAGCAATGAGGACAATATCACCTGTGTCTGTGACCACCTAACTTCCTTCTCCATCCTCATGTCCCCTGACTCCCCAGACCCTGGTTCTCTCCTGGGGATCTTGCTGGATATCATTTCTTACATCGGGTTGGGCTTCTCCATCTTGAGCTTGGCAGCCTGTCTAGTTGTGGAAGCCGTCGTGTGGAAATCAGTGACCAAGAACCGGACGTCCTACATGCGTCACGTCTGCATAGTCAACATTGCCGCCTCCCTTCTGGTGGCCGACACGTGGTTCATCGTGGTTGCCGCCATCCAGGATAGTCACTACGTGCTCTGCAGGACGGCCTGTGTGGCCGCCACCTTCTTCATCCACTTCTTCTACCTCGGCGCCTTCTTCTGGATGCTGACCCTGGGCCTCATGCTCTTCTACCGCCTGGTTTTCATTCTGCATGACGCCAGCAAGTCCACCCAGAAGGCCATTGCTTTCTGTCTTGGCTATGGCTGCCCTCTCGCCATCTCCATCATCACGGTGGGGGCCACCCAGCCATGGGATGTCTACACAAGGAAGGATGTCTGTTGGCTTAACTGGGAGGACACCAAAGCCCTGCTGGCCTTCGCCGTCCCGGCGCTGATGATTGTGGTTGTAAATGTGACCATCACGGTTGTGGTCATCACCAAGATCCTGAGGCCTTCCATCGGAGACAAGCCGTGCAAACAGGAGAAGAGCAGCCTGTTCCAGATCACCAAGAGCATCGGGGTCCTCACGCCGCTCTTGGGGCTCACTTGGGGCTTTGGTCTCGCCACCGTGTTCCCAGGGACCAGCCTGGTGTTCCACATCATATTTGCCCTTCTCAATGCCTTCCAGGTGAGTTTGGTGGTGCTGAGCTCTCAGGAAGCTTTCATGTCTGTGGGACAAACAAATAATAGAAACATAAACAGGAGAAGGAGTGGGGAATGAATTTAGTTCTGAGGAAGCCTTAGCCCTAAAGAGCAGTAATTATAAGAATTTAATGAGACAGAAAGGACACATACCTCTGCTCCCCTGGAAATTCATACTTTTTATTACCTGCATTATAACTTAGTCACATATGCCAGTCTCTCCTAAATGTCCTGATTATCCAAGTAGAGGAAAGCCTTCTTTCTAAATTGGATTCTGCTATTTATTCAGGATTATCTTGGTGCCATTTATTATCTTCTAAATGAAAATCCTGTCTTTGTGAGGACAGGGATCGCATTGATCTTGTTCTATCCATAGCACCTTCTAGAGGCCTCGGCACAGAGTAGGTTCTCTGTAACTACTTGAATGAATCGAGTACTACATGCTCTATGGTAGGTTCCCTAGAAATATTCGCTGAAAAAAAAATCAAAGAATGAAGGTTCTAATATCAGACAATCTCCTCGATTATACTAACATGAAAAGACATCTTTGGCTCAGCGCCTGCGGCTCAGGTAGCTAAGGTGCCAGCCACATACAACTAAGGTGGCGGGTTCGAATCCAGCCAGGGCCCGCCAAACAACAATGGCTGCAACCAAAAAATAGCCGGGCATTGTGGCGGGCGCCTGTGGTCCCAGCTACTTGGGAGGCAGAGGCAGGAGACTCACTTGAGCCCAGGAGTTGGAGGTTGCTGTGAGCTGTGAGGCCACGGCACTCTACCCAGGGGGATAGCTTGAGGCTCTGTCTCAAAAAAAAAAAAAAAAATAGAAAAAGAAAAGACATCTTTGCTCCCTGCAGCACATAACCAATTATTAAATAATGCAAAGCAGTTTGTTAAAAGAGCTAAAACAGAGGTATAGACAATGAGGCTTTGACACACAAAGAAAGGGAGTGATTAATCTGTTTCACCAGCTGAGAGGTGGTAAGGGTAGAGGAACCTGCTTAAGGATACCTGCCCCGGTGAGAGAGGGAGTAGGAAGGGCTGGAAGTGAAGGTAAGGCAGTGCCTCCTAGATGCTTTTGCCACGGCCATATCAACCCCATTTTCTGCTACTGGGCCTCTGGCTCCAGACTATAGAGCTCATGTCTAATGACTTTTGTGGGATGCCTCAGTTGGAGGAAACTAGTTGTCCTACCCAATACCCTCAATTCTCATCACAACCGTGTGGGCAACACTGTAGACACAGAGGTGTGTTTAATAGCATAGCCAGTGGAGCATAGCCTCCAGTTCACAACTGAAGGAAAATGGGGAAATAGAAAATATCCTCCCAACAGCAGGACATTTCGAGTCCCTTAGGGTGTACCTATCGTGTGCTATACTCATTCCATAAACTCAGATGGGGAAAGAGACAGGACAAATTCAATACCGGGTTAACAAAGGACTTGTCATTTTGCTAGACAATCAAATGGGATTAAAATGCGCTTCTTTTTAATCCTTTTTCTCAGGGCTTATTCATTTTACTCTTTGGATGCCTGTGGGATCTGAAGGTAAGAACAATGACAGTTTCATGCTTCTGGAAAAATCTAAAGCCCTTGTGGTATGTTTAAGTCATGATAACTTCTTTTCAACCATGCAGGTTCAGGAAGCTTTGCTAAATAAGTTTTCTTTGTCCAGATGGTCTTCCCAGCACTCAAAGGTAAGCCTTTTCTCTGCAGAGACTTTCCATCTTAAATCCTCCATGTGCTCCACAGTAAGAGAAAGCACTACTGTTTTACCTTGGGGTTTTGACCAACAGGGCTGCATACATAGCAAGCCTTAGTCTGCTTATTAAACATGGCCATGGAGCCACTGGCAAGATGCTACTCCACATACTCAAATAGATGTTAAATAATAGATAGTGTAAGCTTACAGTTAAAATCAAGCTTTCAATGAGAAGTAATCTGGGGGACTTCAAGGCATTAGAGAATTTGGAACATAGTTGTTGCCCTGGAATATATTTGACTGTCATTCATATGTAAGAAGATGCTAACAACCCACCAAATAATAAAACATGTATTTGAAGTTTATTTTTCTGATACAGATCCTAAGATTCTAGTATCTCAATCAATGCAGCCTCAAAGGGGTGAGAATAGAGATGTAGGCAGTGACCACTAGAGGGTGGCAAAACCAACCTCCTAGAGATCAAAACATCCATGGTCTACAAGTAATGACTTTTGCCTTGTCTCTGCTTCTCTCTTCAGTCAACATCCATAGGCTCATCCACGCCTGTGTTTTCTATGAGTTCTCCAATATCAAGAAGATTTAACAATTTGTTTGGTAAAACAGGTACGTTGTGCCCTCAGGGTGCCCTGGTTGACAGAACATATTTGTTCTGCTGGGGAGACTCAGGGCTGCTACTCTCCCACTCCCAATTCATGGTGTCCATCTGACATGGCCTCTGTTACAGTGGAGGTCCAGTATAGGGGCTTGCTCACTTTTCATAAATCACCAAAGGGTGGGTACAGAGGGAAGCTGCCTTCAGGTGGGCAACTAATAATAATTCAGGAAGAATAGGATTTGGATAATCTAGACAAGCCTTTGGAGAGCTGACTATCAAAATATCTACTCTAAAGATGGGAACTGTAAATTGCTGACCCTGTCAAACACAGAGTTCTTTTCAATTCAGTTATATGGAAGTAGATCGGTCATGTTTCTGGCTATGTTGCAGCAAAGGATATACAGTAGAAATTTCATAGTTGATCACTCCCTACATTGACCCTTAAGTTGATCTAATTTTCATAGATCAGGTGTGACTCACATGTACGTATCGGTACACTAGGCCTAATTCCTTATGTTGACCGGCTTGCTGCAGGCCCATGGGTGGCCAACTCACAGAGGTTCTATTGAATTTAAAAAATCCTCCTACAGGATCTCACTCTGTGGGTTTGTTTTCCTTTTTTTTTTTCTTTTTATGGGATGTTCTAGTTTTACATATCACCATGTATAAAACTGTGCATGTGTATATGAGGGATCACCCAAGGGAGCTATGCTATTAGAAACACTCACAGTTAAATTTCTACGTTGGAGATATGACTTTGGGCAATAAGTCTCAGCTGTTCTGACAAATTGAAGCCCCATCTCTCCATTCCAGAAAAATAACCCCCCAAATTCCTTCCAGCTTTTTGAAACTGAACAGATCTCTCAAATGTGGTGTCTAAAAATGTGTCAGTATTCCAGAACAAGGTTTTTCACATAAAAGAAATTTTTGAGAATACCCTTCCACCATTTAAACTCCAATGCAAGGGTACATGTCAGATCTATTAAGTATAGAGTATAAATGTCTTAAGACAATAATGAAGTAAAGGAGATGGGGTATGTATTAATCAGTGTGATGTAAATGTTCCTAATTCTATGTGAAATCAGCACATTGTACCCCATAAATGCATTAATGTATACATGATCTATGTGTTTAAGATTTAATAAGAAAAAAAAAAAAGAAACTCCAGAAGACTTAGTGGGGAGTTTTTTGCTTCAATTTCTCAAATACCTCACAATACTGTCAAGCTTCTACTTTTGATTTTAAAAGGCACTCATTTGATCTGTTGTGAAGAGAGTAGATCTTCCTGGTGCCAGCTCTTTCCCCAAGGTAGCAAGGCCTGGGGTTCCTGGGCATTGCCACTGGATGGCCACTCGGGTCATTCATGAAGCCACATTGGGCCTGTCTGAGGGTCTCATAAGCACTGTAACTTTGCTTTATGTCATCAGCAGCCCCCAAGGTCCCCCCCAGGCAATGATGGAAACCTTGTTAGCCGTGGCAGTTCTGCAATCAGATGGTAGGGTGGGCACTTCGACCCTCCCCTTGTCCGCCGAACACTTCCTACCCTCTCTCTGTGCACAGTCTCTCCCTGCACCCGGCTGCAGACACAAGCCTGTGCAGTTCTCCAGGGCTGCCCCCCTCGCTGCACCAGTTACCAGCACTTCTGTTGTCATTCCTGACTCCTGCTTTTTCTCTGGTCCTGCCTTTTCTTCCCCTAGAATTTTCTCTTTTTTTTTCCTTTTCCTGCCTTTATAGTTCTTTGCCTTGAGCATTTCCTACAAGTCCCTCCCAAGAGCTCCCCCAAGATAAGGGGTGGAGGGGGGAGGTTCCCTCCTGCAGATGTCCCCAGGCCCATGCATGTGGTGGCATGTGGAGAGGTTACCGCTGCCCCCCGGACTCTTCCTGTCCTTTGTAGGAATCTGGCTGCTGGTGGATGTGACGTAGTTGGTGCTTGTTGGCTGCTCTGCATGCGTGAGAACAGCTCTGTTTGTTCTCTGGCACACTGGGTCTTGGAGGACGGCAGGCATGGTGGTTTCCAGGCATGGCCAAGCTTACCTGGCTCCTGGACAGAGTGCCCCTCGGTTCATTAGGAGATGTTCACACCCAAGATCTGTGAAGGCTTGACTGTAAGGCTGAGCTGCTCCTCTGTATTTCAGGAACGTATAATGTTTCCACCCCAGAAACCACCAGCTCATCCTTGGAAAATTCGTCTAGTGCTTACTCGTTGCTCAACTAAGACCAGGAAAATTCATCCCACGTGACTTCTTCATAACTGTGGATGTGCTTCGAAGAAAGAGATCCTTCCAAAGCTGTGGGTAACGTGCTCTCTGTGCAGGTTTCTGGGAGCAGATGCGGAAAAGACTTTTTCCTTAGAGAAGAGGCTTTCTTTTGTAAAAACAGATGAAAAGTAACTGTTATGTTTATTTTTGTCCCCCCACCCCATCCTTGATGTGCCACTAAATATGTATAGTATTTAAGTGAAATGCAGACCCCCAAGGCCCAACTTCCCTGTCTATATTGTAATATAGAATTTTGAAAAGACATTTTTACTTTTCACAGAGTGGTCACAAAGATAAGCTTTAGTTAAAATAATAAATAAAAGGCTAGTCCCTAGGAAATGCTTCAGTGATTTCTAAGAAGGAAGGAAGGAAGAAAAGGGGGAAGAGAAGGAGAGAGGAAAAGAAGAAGAGAAAAAAGAGGAACAAAGAAAAGAATGAAGAAAAACAACATGAAAGGCCACATTTTAAGATTTCCATGTTAATGACCTAATGTCATCAGTTAGGGGCTACAACATGGAGAATTGTGTAAAAATGGCTCAACAATGAAAACCGGAAGTCAGCCACAGGGAGTGAGTTCAGATCCTCCTGAGATCGTCTTAGCTGAGAGGAGGAAACAGACAGTGGTAAAAGCAGGGAGGAAGTTACGTCATCAGGATGCTTTCAAGTGGACATGGGTGGGAGGAGACAGGATGCTCTTGATGCTGAATGCACACGTATGTGCCTTTGCCAAGGTCTAAGCCAAGTGGAGTGAACATCCAGAGGACGCATGACACAGATCCACCTTATCAGATCCAAGCGGATGCAACTGGTTATTGAATTTTTTATAATTCATCAGAAAAGCCTTATATACTTCCGTTTGTTCCATATTTTGAAAGCCAACAATAAACATTTTTGTACCCTTTAATTGCCAAATGTGACACCTTGCACTGAAGTCAGACCCTAATTGTCGTGTATGTAACAGCTTTAACCAGGTACTTCTCTGTGCAGTACAGAGCAGATCTGAATAATCTTCCAGCCTTGTGCATCACTGTCACTGTGCAGAATGGCCCTTGGTGTGTCGTATAGCTCTCTGTATCGTATCTCTGTCAGTCTTTAAATTCCCGGACCAATACACCTTATGAGTTTTGCATGGTCTACGTTGTGTTTATTCCAATCCCTGGGAAAGCTTCTGGAAGGCAGTGCGACAGCTGGGGCTGTTCTGTTCTAATGATGCTTTACCTTGACGCACAAATGGCAGGGCCTTTCCGAAGGATTTGATTAGTGGTGGAGTAACTGGGTGGCTGTTTTGTTTGTGAGTGCGTTTTTCATTTAAAAATACAAATATTTATTGACATTGCATTCTTAGTAGAGTTAACCACGTGCCCTATATTCCAAATGAAAGTCTGACCCCCAAAGGAGAAGACAGAATATGAATGTGGGGCTGCTCAGGCCGGGTGGGCCCTGTGTGACCTTCCCGAGGACAGAGGACATAAAGGGGCCCAGCCATGAGGGTGACGTGAGGTGAAGAAGGGACTGAGATTCAACAACCACTTGTTTATTGAGGTTCAAAGGAGTTTTCTTTTAATATTTTAGCCCTTTAAACCCCTTCTTTTCTTTTTTATTTTAAATTCTACTACTGTCCCTCTTTTCTTCCTGGGGAGGGAGAAATAGGGGGCAGAAATGGGACACATAGATGTCCCAATAATGCTTGAAATAAATGAATTCCTTATTTCCGTATATTCACAAACGACGCAGAGCTCACTCCCACGCTGTCACACCCCAGGCCCAACCGAATGCTTCATTACTTCACATCACTAAAGGAAATGATTGTTAGGCTATAAATGTGGGCCACGTTCTCCAGGGAATGATCAGCTTTGAGCAGAACTTACTTGGTACCAAAAAGATGGAGACAGGTTAAGTCTGGGGATCAGTTGAATTATAATGGCATTAGCTATTCGGGAAAGGATGACTTTAATGAGTTAAGTGGGCTCGGCGTCTATGGCTCAAGCAGCTAAGGCGCCAGCCACATACACCTAAGGTGGCAGGTTCAAATCCAGCCCAGGCCCGCCAAAACAACAATGATGGCTGCAACCAAAAAATGGCCGGGCGTTGTAGTGGGCACCTGTGGTCCCAGCTACTTGGGAGGCTGAGGCAGGAGACTCATTTGAGCCCAGGAGTTGGAGGTTGCTGTGAGCTGTGATGCCACAGCACTCTACCCAGGAGGACAGCTTGAGGCTCTGTCTCAAAAAACAAAACAAAACAAAACAAAACAAAAATGAGTTAAGTGGAGGAGAGGTGAGCTGGGGTCATGGCACAGTGTTACTCAGCAGGGTGTTCTTGACATAATCGATCACAGAACACACAGCACCTGGCAGGCTTTTGTCATGTTCAAAAATGCAATCAGACAGGAACCAGGGAGTCTCCACCCACTTCCACAGGGATTCCCTTGGGAGTCATTGTGTTTGGACCTATGAAGGGAACCTCCATAAATAGCAGGACCCCACGGTGGAGTTCCTAGGATGCAGATCGGGCCCTCTGCCACAGACCTTAGTTAAGGCACGGTCTTATCCCAAACACACACACACACATACACATGCTCACACATGCAGGCAGGCATGAGCCTTCATCCTTTCAAGTCATGGCACTAGATTCAAATTCTAGAAAATCCATGGAGACAAATGACTAGAGAAATGCTTGCTGGTTTTCTGCCCACCGCAACACAAATAGCAACCACTACCCCTTCCCAAGAATATCCCAAAATAAATAGTAGAATTTAAAAGTGTAGAAGGGAACTACGAATCTGTAAATTATATGAAACCAAGAGCCTCGCTTGGACCTGAGATCATCAGTTCTCAATCAGCAATGACTGCATGGCCATCAGTCATGAATTTCTGAAGGCAGGAGGCCCAGTGACTCTGGGTGGTGTGGTCCACTTTAGTCATAAGGACCCAGTGTTTCCCCGGGTGTCTGACATTGCTCAGCATATAAAGTCAGTCCCATGGCCAAAACTTTCCTGCCTTAAGGGGCCTTCCATTAAGTAGGCTTCTTGCAAAGGGATCTCTCCTAATGCTTTAGAGGTTGTGAGGTTGGAGCATTCACAAATGAGCAGCTACCAAAATATTCCCTGGGATCATGCCAAGTCCAGAGCCACACGTCATCTCTTGAGTGAATCATGTGTCTGCCATCCTCCTCCCCATTCCTGATTGTTTACATGGGGAAAGAGAATAATAAATGTCCATGGGGTTTTCGGGTTATAGGTTGCTAAGGCCGGAGACTAAGAAATACTGTGGGAAGTCAGAGCTTTTTGTGGTTTGTGTAGAGAAATCCAGGGCGATCTGGGTTGGAAGGTTTCAGGAAAAAAAAATGTTACATGGAGATGAAAAAGACTGTGGCAATCAGTAAATGCAGAAGGGGGGGGGCTGTCTGCTATTCTGAAGGAAGTGGAGCAGAAAGGCAAAATCATCTGAGAAGATTAAAGGAAACAGGGTGGTCCTAGAAATGCCACGTAGGTGGAATGCATTTAATTTGTGTCATGTGATTGTGAAACCAAACAGGGCCTCTGAATGTCAGAGAGCAAGCCTGTGACCCAGGCCCATAAAAGTCGGATTCTCCGAGCACCCAGAATAAAGGAGGACTTACAGTAGACACGCCTTTCTAATACATTTTCTTTAAACATAATGAAAATAACGTCTCATCGTTTCAACAAGGATGTTAGCTTTGAAATTAGATGCTATGGGTTTCCAAAATTATGATTTGGGATTTTAAGTAATGCCTTAATAGTATGTCAGGATACAGCTGTGTTTCCGTCCCATGCTTCTCACCATAAAATAGCTAACAAGATCTTGTGAGCTTTCACTGTACAAATCGTCTGCTCTTCTGTGAGATGTTGCCACCACTGCTGTTTCAGGCTTGTGCCTGTCGCTCAGAATTTAACCCCATTCTACAAAAACCGAATAATCCTTTCTACCTTCCAGGCATAGGAGATGGCAGGAGCTCGAGACGGCTTAGCTGGCAGGGGGCTCCCATCTTGCCCAGCACCACCCTACTCCCAGCAGCCGCTGATGATCCAACCTGTCACAAAGGGGTTTAAACAGGGGTCCTTGAACTTTCAGAACCTATTTGTCTGGGGAACGTATAAGCAGATGCCTATTTCAACATTTATGTGTGCCTGGGTTGGAATTTTCGTTGACAGCTGAAAATAGAACCCTCATGTCCCGTATAGATGAATAGCAGAGCTTAGCTTCCTAAGTTTCCTACTCTCAGTGAAAATGAAGTGGACAGAGGAAGAAAGGAAGGAAGAGAAGCCAGTAGCTGCAGCCCACACAGTGCCAGACACCTGTTATATCTCCAAATACCATTTCCATGTGTTGGGCATGCCATGGGGCAGGGAGGCATGGGCGTGGTGTCCCATGATTTAGATACAGTTGTCCTGTCTATTCTTAAACAATTACATAGAAACCCCTTCTTTCCTTTTACCTCTAAACTTGGAGATGGAAGAGTTGAAAGGTCACCAGTGTCCATGACAGGTCCCTCTGCACACATGGAGTGTGGTTAGGAAATAAGCCATTTACGCACCAAGGTTTTCATTCTTTTACGGAGAACCAAATTAAAAATGTGCTGTAAAAGGAGGCTAGGAAAGGCTTATTCTAGGTGTGAAAGGCAACAGGCACTGACTGGCCAAGTCATGAGCAGATTGCTGTTACAGTCCACTTCCCACAGCATCAGATAACAAAACTTAGGGGTGACTCTGGGCCATGCCTTGTGGGAACCAGTTTTGACTGGTGTCCTCCTTCCTGTTAACCAGCCGTCATGCCCCCCAGTTGCGGGAAGAGGTGTTTGATGTGTGCCATTGACTGCTTTTTGTGGAACTCTGAGCCTTTTCGCATGCCCCAGGCTCCTCTCAGCTGTGCCAGTCACAGTGGTCGCGACAGGGATCTCCAGCTGGGCTAAAGAGCAACAGCTGTCTCCAGACCCGGGCTCCCGCTCAGCCCCGGCTTCTTCTGAGGCTTGATCGCCACCTGGTGGGCGTTGGAGGAGGCGCCGCGTCTGCGGTCCAGCCTCGAGAGGACAGTATGAGGCCAAAGAGCCTTGGGGTCAAAACGCAGTGAGGTAATTTGGGTCATATGAACAGAGTGAAGATCAAGGGCTATTGGAAGTAGAAATCAGGAATGAAAGAATTATTCTCACTCCCCAGTTTCTAACTCGTATCTTGTAATCCTTGCAGGGAAGAGGGG